TTCCCGACAGCCAGGAACTGTTTCTCACCCTAGACCTGGAGCCAGTACCCCACGAACCCACCCAAGGCTGCCTCCTGGACTCAGAGGCGGAGAAGGGACCTCTGGTGAGTGTACCTTTTAAAATGCTATACATGGTTTAAAAGCAAGCATGTGAAAGGATTACTTTGCCCTGGCATTTGCGGTTCTGCCTTTGCAAAAGGTTTCTGGGGAGGGCAGCCTTATTTCGTCCTTCATGGTAGGACACTTTACCACTCCAGGCCAGCAACACGTACTGGGGAATCACTGTAGAACAAAGCATTGCAGTGTATGTTTGCTGGCATTCAACCAAAATCCGTTCAGCGGTGGGAGGAGGCAAAATGCGACCTTGTAACGAAAGCACATGTGCTATGTATGTAATGTTAACTTTCAAGGTTTACCCTGAAAGAGTGTAGCCACTGTTTTATAAAATGTGTCTTTTTAAATACCGCTGTCCCTTTTTTTTCTCCACCAGCTGCATGTGTTTCAATGATCACAGGATCTTCTCCTTCCCAGAGGCTAGTGAAGCTTAGAAAGAAAAAAAACGCACTCGCGATGAAATGTTCTCCGAGCTCATGCTGTCCTCCCACACTGACAGAGCACAGACGAATGCGTGGAGGCAAATAATGTCAGAGTGCAGGAAAGCACAAAATGACCGGGAGGAGAGGTGGAGGGCTGAAGAGAGTAAGTGGCGGGCTGAAGAGAGTAAGTGGCGGGCTGAAGACAGGGCTGAAGCTCAAAGGTGGCGGCAGCGTGATGAGAGGAGGCAGGATTCAATGCTGAGGCTGCTGAGGACCAAACCAGTATGCTCCAGTGTATGGTTGAGCTGCAGCAAAGGCAGCTGGAGCACAGACGCCACTGCAGCCCTCTGTAACCAACCGCCCTCCTCCCCAAGTTCCATAGCCTCCACACCCAGACGCCCAAGAACACGGTGGGGAGGCCTCCGCCAACCAGCCACTCCCCCACAGAGGATTGCCCAAAAAAAGAAGGCTGTCATTCAATAAATTTTAAAGTTGTAAACTTTTAAAGTGCTGTGCTTAAAGTGCTGTGTGGCATTTTCCTTCCCTCCTCCACCACCCCTCCTGGGATACCTTGGTAGTCATCCCCCTATTTGTGTGATGAATGAATAACGAATGCATGACTGTGAAGCAGCAATGACTTTATTGGCTCTGCAAGCAATGATTAAAGGGAGGAGGGAGGGTGGTTAGCTACAGGGAAGTAGAGTGAACCAAGGGGGGGGGGTTATCAAGGAGAAACAAACAGAACTTTTACACCGTAGCCTGGCCAGTCATGAAACTGTTTTTCAAAGCTTCTCTGATCGTACGCGCCTCCTGTGCTCTTCTAACCGCCTGGTGTCTGGCTGCGCGTAACCAGCAGCCAGGCGATTTGCCTCAACCTCCCACCCCGCCATAAACGTCTCCCCCTTACTCTCACAGATATTGTGGAGCACACAGCAAGCAGTAATAACAGTGGGAATATTGGTTTCGCTGAGGTCTAAGCGAGTCAGTAAACTGCGCCACGCGCCTTTAAACGTCCAAATGACATTCTACCACCATTCTGCACTTGCTCAGCCTGTAGTTGAACAGCTCCTGACCACTGTCCAGGCTGCCTGTGTACGGCTTCATGAGCCATGGCATTAAGGGGTAGGCTGGGTCCCCAAGGATACATATAGGCATTTCAACATCCCCAACAGTTATTTTCTGGTCTGGGAATAAAGTCCCTTCCTGCAGCTTTTGAAACAGACCAGAGTTCTGAAGATGCGAGCGTCATGCACCTTTCCCGGCCATCCCACGTTGATGTTGGTGAAACGTCCCTTGTGATCCACCAGAGCTTGCAGCACTATTGAAAAGTACCCTTGCGGTTTATGTACTCGGCGGCTTGGTGCTCCGGTGCCAAGATAGGGATATGGGTTCCATCTATAGCCCCACCACAGTTAGGAATCCATTGCAGCAAAGCCATCCACTATGACCTGCACATTTCCCAGGGTCACTACCCTTGATATCAGCAGATCTTTGATTGCGTGGGCTACTGCATCACAGCACCCCCACAGTAGATTTGCCCACTCCAAATTGATTCCCAACTGACCGGTAGCGTCTGGCGTTGCAAGCTTCCACAGGGCTATCGCCACTCGCTTCTCAACTGTGAGGGCTGCTCTCATCTTGGTATTCATGGCTTCAGGACAGGGGAAAGCAAGTCACAAAGTTCCATGAAAGTGCCCTTAGCATGAAAGTTTCGTAGCCACTGGGAATCGTCCCAGACCTGCAAACTATGCGGTCCCACCAGTCTGTGCTTGTTTCCGAGCCCAGAATCGGCGTTCCACAGCATGAACCTGCCCCATTAGCACCATGATGCATGCATTGTCAGGGCCCATGCTTTCAGAGAAATCTGTGTCCATGTCCTGATCACTCACGGGACCGCTGACGTGCCTCCTCGCCCGGTATCGCGTTGCATGTTCTGGTGCTGCATATACTGCTGAATAATGCGTGTGGTGGTTAATGTGCTCCTAATTGCCAAAGTGAGCTGAGCGGGCTCCATGCTTGCGTGGTATGGCGTCCGACAGAAAAAAGGGGAACGATTGTCTGCCGTTGCTCTGACGGAGGGAGGGGCGACTGACGACACGGCTTACAGGGTTGGCTTCAGGGAGCTAAAATCAACAAAGGGGTGCCTGTACATCAAGGAGTATTTCAGGCAGGACTGACGGAGGGTTCCAATAAGAAATGGTGCACCTAAGTTATCGTTGTTATTGGAACAAGGAGGTTAGCTGGCCTCTGATTGATACATGGCTAGATTTACCTCGCTGACCTTCTCTGTGGACTGATGTGACCTAGAGGATGAGCCTAGACAGGGAGGAGGAAATGAGTACAAAACAAATCTGGTCTATTTCTTGTTTTGACCCACTCCATCTATCTTTTACATCTTTGGCTGGCACAGAGGTGCAGAAGGACTGCATGCCATCCACATCTCATGGCTGCTTGGCAGAAGATGTACAGAGGTAGCCATCCCCATCTCTTGCCTGCCTGGCAGAAGATGGTAATACGACGCTAAATCCTCATTCTTGCCTGCCTGGCAGAAGATGGTACAGTAGACTGCTAGCAGTCCGTATCCTGCCTGCTCACCATAAGAGGTTCAATAGGACTGACTGCAGGATAAAGAGAGACCTGGTCAAGTCACTCCAAATTTAGTCCCTGCGCCAGTCGCCCAGGCGTCCCAGCGAGGGCCAGGAGCACCTGGACACGATGAGGACGACTACCAATCGTATTGACGTTGCTGCCAGAAGAAGGGGTGCTGCTACTGTGCAGCAAAGCCGTACCGTCTGCCAGCACCAGGAGAATAGGGTGACGGTTACCTGAGCGGCTCCATGCTTGCTGTGGTATGTCTGCACAGGTAACTCAGGAAAAAGGGAATGATTGTTGCCCTTGCTTTCAGGAGGGAGGGAGGGAAGGGGCCTGACGACACGTACCCAGAACCACCCGCGACAATGTTTTAGCCATCAGACCATTGTGACTGCTCTGGAAGCACTCTCAGATGCCCGATTGTTTCCATTGTCTGACGCTGGGAGGGGCGTTACAGGGTTGCTTCAGGGAGCTAAAATCAAAAAGGGGGTGGCTTTACATCAAGGAGTATTTCAGGCAGGATTCACAGAGGGTTCCAATAAGAAATGTGCACCTAAGTTATTGCCTTATTGAGAAGAAGGTTACTGGCCTCTGATTGATACAGGCTAGATTTACCTCGTGCATCTTGACTGCAGTGTGATCTAAAGATAGTCCCTAGACAGGGGAGGGGGAAGAAATGAGTACAAAACAAATCTGGTCTATTTCTTGTTTTGACCCACTCCATCTATCTTTTACATCTTTGGCTGCAGCAGAGGACTGATGCCATCACATCTCATGACTGCTCGGCAGAAGATGGTACAGCACGACTGCTAGAGTCCGTATCGCCTGCCCGCTCACCATAAGACGTTCAATAGGACTGACTGCAGGACTAAAGAGAATGACCTGGTCAAGTCACTCCAAATTTAGTCCCTGTGCCCATGTCTGCCCAGGCGCTCCTGATCGACCTCACAGAGGACCAGGAGCACCTCAGACATGACGATGACGGCTACCAGTGTACTGTACGTCTGCTGCCACAAGGCAAGGGGTTGCTGCTACTGTGTAGCAATGCGTAGGTCTGCAGCACCCAGGAGACATAGGGTGACGGTTACCTGAGGGGCTCCATGCTTGCCATGGTATGGCGTCTGCACAGGTAACTCAGGAAAAAAGGCGCGAAATGATTGTCTGCCCTTGCTTTCAGGGGGAGGGAGGGAACGGGAGGCTGACGATATGTACCCAGAACCACCGCAAATGTTTTAGCCCCATCAGGCATTGGGATCTCAACCCAGAATTCCAATGGGCAGCGGAGACGCGGGAACTGTGGGATAGCTACCCACAGTGCAAGCTCCGGAAGTCGACGCGCCTCGGTACTGTGGAAGCGCTCCGCGAGTTAATGCACTTAATGCACTTAGAGCATTTACTGTGGGGACACACACACTCGAATTTATAAAACCGATTTCTAAAAAACCGACTTCTATAAATTCGACCTTATTCCGTAGTGTAGACATACCCTTAGTAAAAGAGAACTGAAGAGACGTTGCGACTGTTCTTCCTTTGATGCCCTCACATGGGAGCACAAGGAAGCACAGGGCACATGCACAGCTCCAACAGATACACTTGCTCAAAAATTTGAGGTCTCATGTGCACTGGGCACACATGCACCTACAGTGGGATCCACCCTGACACATACTCAAAGAAGAAGACATTTTTGTATGTAAACATTTTAAAAACCAGAGATAGACAGACGATGGAGAACTCTTGTGATTCAGTCTATGACAGGTGCAGTACACTAGCAGGGAGAGAACACACTTGTAAACATTTACATTAGATACTGGAAATGGATCCATTACCCTTACTTCCCTTATCTTTCGAAAGAAAAAAATAATTAAAACATACTTTTTTCTTCTTCTGGAAGGAGTGTGAGGTAAGTAGACAAAAACTTCTGTAACTTCATCCCTAAAGGAGGACAAGCTCCTATCAACTGGCCTGGTGACCTGTTTTTAATCAAACATAAAATTAACTTTATGCACATTAACTGCACTTTATAAAGAGGGATCTCAAAGCCCCTTATAAAACAAATTAATCAAAAACATTACCTAATTGTCTAACTCATTAGAATACAAACAGCCAATCAAAGTAAAGTGTTTCAATATGAAGAATTGGGGGAAAGGGGGATTTTTTTTTTTAAGTACTTCTGATACTTTTAAAGGGTATTGAAAATGTAAATATTGAAACTGAAATACAGCAATTGCCATGATGAATCAGAACTGTGGTCCATCTAGTCCAGTCTCCTATCTCTGACAGCATCAGATGATTCCCAGATAGATACAAGAAACCCTGCAGTACCAGATGTGGGATAATGTAATCCCAATGCAGGTTTCATCTTAATCCCTAAAAGTTCAGGTTTAAGACCTGAAACATGAGGTTTTATATCCTTTCCAAAATGTATCAGCATTAACTATTTATGACTCTGGATATTCTTGGTATCCATATAAATGTCCAATCTCTGTCTATTTCTCTAACTTTTTAAAACACACCTATATCCACTCATCCAGTGCTCTGAGTGCCGATCCCACATGTTAAAAACTACAAGAAAAATATAGGTTTCAGAGTAACAGCCGTGTTAGTCTGTATTCGCAAAAAGAAAAGGAGTACTTGTGGCACCTTACAGACTAACAAATTTATTTGAGCATAAGCTTTCGTGAGCTACAGCTCACTTCCACAGATGCATACTGTGTGATACATGGTCTGTGTGTATAAAAACATCTTCTGTATTTTCCACAGTATGCATCTGTGGAAGTGAGCTGTAGCTCACGAAAGCTTATGCTCAAATAAATTGGTTAGTCTCTAAGGTGCCACAAGTCCTCCTTTTCTTTTTACGAAAAATATACACTGCTGTTGCAGCCATGTTGGTCCCAGGATATTAAAGAGACAAGGTGGGTGAAGTAATCTCTTTTTATTGGACCAACTTCTGTTGGTGAGAGAGACCATAAAAAATATTACCTCGTCCACCTCGTCTCTCAGAAAAATACAGACAAAAAAGACTGCCCATAATATTTCCACCTCAACTCCTTCCCTGAACAGCCTTGACAAAGAGGGGAACAAGATGGGCTTTGCAGAGTGCTCAGAAGGCAAACAAATCCAACCTCTGGCAGACCAAGGAGAGGTGGAGCAATCTCCAAAACTGAGGATCTTTCATATAGAATGCATGGACAGCAGTTCCCTCTTATTTATATCAAGGGAGATCCAGATAGAATGCCTCTGTTGATCTCAGTTACGACAGAATATCGTAAGAAGAGAGGCAAGCTCTCGGGTAATAAGGTTCCAAACCATTTACACTTTATGGGTTAAAAACAGCACCTTGAATTCTACACAGAAACATACCGAAAGTCAGCGGAGATCATGGAGATAATGTGCTCCCAACATGCAACTCCACTTAATAAGCAGGCTACAGCATTTTGCACTACCTTCATCTTCTGAATATCCCAATACAGCTCCATGCATGACACATTATAGCAATCTAATCTTGAAGTGACAAAGGCATAGATTTTTGTGGCAAGGGCCGTAGCAGAGAGAAAAGGTCACACTCTTCTTGCCAGGTGCAGAAAAACACTGTTGGTTTCAGCCCCAACCTGGGCATCCAGGAGCAGTTGGATCCAATGCTACCCCGAAACTGCACGTGTTTTACAAATGGTGGTTACATGTCCTTTATGAAGGGCACAGATGTAAGTTCTACCAACTCTTCCAGCTGCTCTCCCCAACCCACCAACACTATCTCAGGGCTGGTCTGCACTACAGAGTTAGGGTGGCTTAACTACATCGCTCAGGGCTGTGAAAAATTTCATACCCTGTGCTACGTAATTAAGCTGTAATTAAGTCCCAGTGTACACACAGCTAGGCCAACTAGTGTAGACATCCTAGGTCTATTCCGGTTTGAGTTTGAACAGTCAGTCAACCAATACTTATCCAAACTCCAGGTTCACCTAGGGCATTCAAAAATTAATTCTGCTGTTCTGGCTGGGTCGGATGTGATAGAAACCTAGAGCTGGATGTCATCAGCATACCAAGTGCACGACAACCCACGTCTCCTCACTACCCATTCTAGCAGACTCAAATACACATTGAACAAAAGGGGTCACCATAGATTCTTGGCCTCCAAGATATCCTGTAACAAAGCGTTTCAAAGTCTAATTACATAGAAATGTTATCAGTTTTGAATTTGCCACCTTTTGACTTCATTGACTGCTCCCTTGTTCTTGTGCTGTGAGACACAGAGAACAGAAGCTTCCTATCTTCACTATATTATTTTATATACTTTTATCATATCTACACTTATATTTCTCCTTTCTAAGATAAACAACCCCAATCTTTTCAATCTCTCTTCACATTAGAATTTTTCAATGCCCTTTTTATCACCCTCTCTGAACCCTCTACTTTTGCTGCATCCCTTCCGAGATAGGGTGGCCAGAACTACACACTTATTCCCAATGAGGATGTACCAATACCATTTATATAAGGATATTATTATGTTTTTCATATTATTCCTCATTTGTTCCTTATGCATTCTAACACTGTTTGCTTTTTAGACCACAGCTACACACCACGCCAAAGCCTTCACCGAGCTGTCCACAGTGATGCCAATTTTTTTTTTTAAGTTGATACAGTTCGTTTTAGAACCCTATGAGATGTATAGTTAATTATTTTTTTCTCCTTGGGTGTGTATCACTTTGCATTTATGAACACTGAATTTCACTTGACATGTTGCCCATTCATCTAGATTGGTCCATTCCTTCTGAATTTCCTCCAGGCCTTCTTTAGATTTGATTAAGCTAAATAACTTTGTGTCTTCTGTAAATTTTGCTACCCAACTGCTCGTTCATCCCCTTTTCCAGACCATTAATAAATACAGTAAACAATATCAGACTCAATAAAGAACCTTGAGGCATCCTACTATTAAACTTCTGCAAGGATGAAAACTGAACATTTATTCCTATGCTTTGTTCCCTTCTCTTAGCCAGTTTTTGATCCATAAAATTTTTTTGCCTCTCACCCATGACAAAGTAAGTTTCTGGAGAAGCTTCTTGTCCAAGACCTTTTGAAAGTATAAAAAATTATGTCAACTGGTTCCCCTTGCTTGACTGACAAGTTTAAAGTGATATCAACCAATATCTTATGTCAAATGTAATGGCCCATTGTTCAATACTTACTAAACTAAATAACCAATGGTTTACCTGCCATAGAGAGAACTTTCTGAAAGTGCATCCATTAACGGTCCGATAATAAACTGGAGAGAGAAAAATTAAATTTACATTAAAACCATTTTATACACATTTATACATTTTACATTTTATACACGCACTAAGTAGATTTTACTTGTGATAAACAAGATAGAGAAAGGGTTCCTACTAATGAGAGAGACTTTTATCATTACTAACCTACAGCAGCAGAGGATTAAGCAATGAGCTTTGTACAGTCAGTCATTTTTGCTAGAACAACACTAATAGAGCAGTGGTTTGCCTATTTGGTACAGAAGTTGGGCTATTGAGGAGAGGAAGGAAACTGATTCAAGGAACAAGAAAGGCATTAATATTAGTTGCACATGGAAGTTGAAAGGAGGAAGAGAGTGAGTCTTCACTGATCACTAGTAAAAACAGTCAACTTTAAAAAACAAACAAACAAGAACACACACAACTGTTCCTCGCTACTGCATAAGTAGGGCCCTACCAAATTCGTGGATTGTTTTAAAAAGTGCATCATGGGCTGTGAAATCTGATCTCCGCCATGAAATCTGGCTATTGTAGGGGAGACCAGATTTCACAGAGTTGGGCGGCTGGACAGCAACAGCTTCCGGTCATCAGCAGTGCTTTACTTCTGCGCTGCTGCTGGCGGTGGTGCTGCCTTCAGAGCAGGGCGCCCGGCTCCTAAGGCAGCAGCAAAGAAGAAGTAAGGGTGGCAATACCACGACCCCCCTACCATAGCCTTGCGACAGCCCCACGAGCCCCCTTGTGGGCTGTGACCCCTATGGTTACAATACCATGAAATTTCAGATTTAAACATCTGAAACCATTACATTTATTATTTTTAAAATCCTATGACAGTGAAATTGACCAAAATGGACCATGAATTTGGTAGGGTCCTATTCATAAGTAACCTTTAAGAGTACTATAACTGAAAAAGAAAAAAAAAATTCACTTTGTACATTTCACAACACTTTGTATATAGTCAGTTCCTCTACTGCAATCCATTCCCATTTGGGTCTGTTTTGCATAAAACAAAAAGGAAGAAAACTATTTTTTACAAAACAAGAAAAAAAAAAAAGATTAGAACCATAACATTGGCAGGAGGACTCAGAGGCATGTACTGTAATTGTAGCTACTTTTAACCTTTTTTTAAAAAAACTGACTATAAATCAAGTTGGTGTCACTTTAATGAGAGATTGACCTTAATTGTATAAATCAGAAATTTTGGCTTTTGAGGTACCTGCAAGCTGTTTCTTAGAAGTGGGGCTGGATGGTGTACAAAATAGATCATTCATACCCTGCGAGATGTAAGCTAACTACTAAATCTATGCAAATGCAATATGTTATTCCAACAGTAAAACTGAGAGTGTAGTTTTAACAACTACAATCTCTCCTTATTATATAGTAAGAAAGACTTTTTTCATAATTTATTATAAGAGATACAGTAAAAAACTGATTATTCAACAGTCTCTAGAGATATCTGAACCTTCCCACAATAAGGGGAGATACCCATCAGGCTTCAAAGTCTGTCTTTAGAGTAGTGAAACGCTGAGCATGGACTTCAAAACCTTCTCAGTAATCTCCTTCACAACCAGATGGTTCTGCTGAACTGAGGTGCTCAACAGCTCCAGTTCTGAAAAAGCTTAGGAGCTCTATAGAACTGGAACATCAGCAACCCTCAGGGAGAAAGAGATCATATCCAACCTTCATATAAAAAGAATCCCAGTTAACTGGGATTCAACTAATTAAGGTTAGACTGTACTGGTCCCTGAAATAAGGATTTGTGGCTAAATGGCAAGGAACACTGCAGTAGGCACTCTTTCTTTGACCAAGGTAATCTTAGTCCTGAGATCACTTCTAAATAATGTCATTACTATTGATGTAGCTATACTTGATATGGTTTTATAGAATCTGTCTAACTCCTCCTCATGATTTAGGTAATCAATTTAGGAAATGTTTCAGGTTAAAATATCTATTTATCCTGGAAAATAGTTGGGAGGGAGGTTGGTTAGGGGAATGCTCTTACCTCTGAAAATCCTGGTGAATTTGGAAGGCGTTTTGTTTCATAAAGCTCCAGAAATTGAGCAACGCCTTCCCTCGTCAAAGTTTTGTTTTCACTCTCAAACATCCTTTTGTAAATGCACATATGCCATGATGGGTGAAACAACCAACAACCTGGTACAAAAATGACAACTTTGACTGGTGTGTCAAATGATAGTGACATCAGCACATAATCTGTCTAGTAGTAAATTTTAAAGAAGTGTGTCAAACTAAAGCGTAAAAAATATTGAAGGTATCATGACATGATGGTTAGCCATTACAAAACACTATTTAGAAAGATGTTATACAGGTAGCTGTTTATCTGGTGTCTAAAATGTGCTTTTCTCTAAAAACACAATATAAACATTTATTAACATAGCTTGAAAAACTTACTTAATGCTTTCTAGCTTAAGGACTAAAACTAATAGCAAGAGGGAAAAATACTTGTTTCTTTTTCTCCTCCAAGCCACTCTCTCTGTAATTCAAAGCAATAAACAGCTATCTACTGTACTTACTTGTGACAAACTGACAGTCAACTATCTATTTAACAGATTACAATTTAACTTACTACTCGTATTTTATTTTGGTTAGATCTTTTTTTCCTTCTTAGATTCACTCCATCATGGTGTATCTTTCCCAGTGTTGTCTATGGTATCCAGTTCCTTCCTCTCCTTTGTCTACTGCAATGTTGCCCAGACAGCCTGGCTCAGAACCACCCTCCCCAGCATGTGAGCCAGGGAAAGAGGAACTTAAAACTGGCTTCATTGGGTCATATTCCTGGCTGCTGCATTGTTCTCCTGGCATCCTAGCTGGCAATCTTACTCTCTAGCTCCCGCTGCTATCTTAAGCAAAAGCTTAAGTGGAAATGGGCCTATTTGTGAGGTGGGAAAGATGAGAATTAAAGGAATTTCATGGTGATAGAATAAGTAACTTTGCTGCAGGTACTGGTCTAAATAGCTCTGACTGTCAGCACTGAAATCAATGGCACCAGTAGGTCATGTCTCACTTCAGACAGTAGCAGGGAGAGTTGAGCCATAGTTCTCACTCTGATTTGGTACCACAGGACTCGTGAGATGATTTGTGCGAGGAGTGACGATGACTCGAGTGCTTGAGTAGCCCTTCTTGGATCTTGATTCAAGTTTTTGTTCCTTGTGAGAAGATCCTAGCGAAGATGACATCTCTTCTCCTCATGTGATCTAGGAGTCTTTGCATCCTTGTAAGCAGATGCAGAGCTTCAGGGGCACTTCTAGTCAGTATATACTCAGCTCTGCCAACTCCTGTATGGGCTAGATCAGGGGCTGGATGCATTGATTGTTCAATAAAGTAGTCCCTCAAACATAACTACTGTTATTTCTGTGACCTCTTCTTGAATGATTTGCAGATGCTACATTTCTCTCTCACATGCCCCTCTCCCCAAGAATATGAGGCATCTGATGTAAGCATTGCTCACTCGTGGGCATAACAGCCCTGCAGGAAGGACAATGCTTGAAGGCCAGGGACTTCTCAATTTCAAAGCTAATGCTGGAGGGTTTGATAAAAATATCAAAGGAAGATCCCATCCAGAATGAAAGAATAATTAAAACTAGTAAGCTACCTCCTAACACTACTCTATTTACACTAATATTTACAAGACATTAAGTGATAAACATGTGAGAGAGAGAGAGGGGACCATGGGCACCAGACACACTGGGAGCTCCAACTCCTAGCCACAGGCAATGCAGTCAGAGCATGAATAATTCTGTGGGCAAGTTAAATGACAGAAAGGTAAAGGAGGTGTCATTTGATTCATAAAAATCTATAGACTCCTCATTTCAGTGGTGTCACCCTATCTATCATGACAAGAAAGATCCGCTACTCTCCCAGCTCCAGGTCCTCCAATTGGTGGAAATTTTGCTAGTGCAATGTCATCAAAAATGGGTAGAATTGGGTATCCTTTGAAAGCCCTTTTTCCCCACAAACACAATGGTACCAAATATGACAAAATTAGAACAATTATGTAAATATATATTCAAGAAAGTGTTTAAAATCAGCTCTCTTTTATTATACTTTAGCACAAGCATATCAAAAATGCAGCCATCACAAAATTAAATTGTGGCTCTCAACTGACAGTACCAAGCTATCGGCTAACGCTCATAAAATGAGAGCAAATTCCAACATTATCAGCCTTTAACTCGACACTACACAAGATGCCAGACTGAATCACCTGTGTACGAATCCTGCCAATCATAGCAGCTAGCCCCACTGATAGCTCAGTTCATTTAACATTCCTTATGCAGCTGGAAAGCAAGAACAAATATATCTGCAGAATTGAATCAAAATGTGTCATGACACTAGAGGTGTGCCTTTAAAGGCCTGTTCAACAGGCTAGCTAAAGTAGTCAAGAGAGTGCTAAACGAGGGAAGATATGAGCAATCAGCAGGTACAAAATCAAGATGTTGAGAACAAAATTAATCAAGAAACAAAGGACATGCAGAGCAAAAATGCCTGAATTGCCTATGCGCTAATAGTAGGAGCCCAAGTAACAGAATTGGAATTGCTCATTTATGAACATAAATTTGATTTAACTGGTATTGCTGAAACCTGGTGGGATGATTCAAATAACTGGAATGTTAACATCAATAGTTATAACTGATTTAGGAAGGACTGAGTGGGCAAAAGAGGAGAGAGGGAATGGCACTCTACATTAAATATGGCTTTATCTGTCTCCGAGTCACTGATAACTCAGAAGAAAATTATCTTGAATTCTTATGGATCAATAACCGCACAGATAAAGCACAAGATGAATGATCAGACACACAGATCAAACACAATTTGTTGGGGAAAAGTCAACACACCTTTTGTAAAGGAAAATCCTGCCTCACAGATCTACAAGAATTCTTTGAGGACAGTCAACAAACATGTGGACAAAGGTGATACAATGGATATAGTGTAACTGGACTTTCAGAAAGCTTTAGACAAGGTCCCTCACTAAAGGCTCTTAAGCAAACTAAGTAGTCATGGGATAAGAGGGAAGGTCCTCTCATGGATCAGTAACTGGATAAAAGATAGGAAACAAAGGGTAGGTGTAAATGGTCAGTTTTCAGAATGGAGAGAGGTAAAATAGTGGTGTTCCCAGGGAACTGTACTGGGACCAGTCCAACTCACTATATTCATAAATGATCTGGAAAAAGGGGTAAACAGTGAGGTAGCAAAATTTGCAGACAGTACAAATTACTCAAGATAGCTAAATCCAAAGCAGACTGCAAAAAGTTACCAAGGGATCTCAGAAAGCTGGGTGACCGGGAAACAAAATGGCAGATGAAATTCAGTGTTGATATATGCAGAGTAAGGCACATTGGAAAACCTAATCCCAACTATGCATAAAACGATGGGGTCTAAATTACTGTTACCACTCAAGAAAGATCTTGGAGTCACTGTGGATAGTTCTCTGAAAACATCCACTCAATGTGTATTGGTAGTCAAGGTCAAAAAGCCAACAGAATGTTAAGAACCATTAAGAAAGGGATAAATAAAAAGACAGAAAATATCAATGCCATTACAGAAATCCATGGTACTTTGAATACAGCATGCAGTTCTGGTTGCTCCATCTCAAAAAATATATAGATTAGAATTGGAAAAGGTACAAAGAAGGGCAACAAAAATGATTAAGAGTATGAAACAGCTTCCATATGAGGAGAGATTAAAAAGACTGGGACATTTCAGTTGGGAAAAGAGATAAGTAAGTGGGATGTCACAGAGATCCATAAAAACATGAATGGTGTGAAGAAAATGAATAAGGAAGCGTTATTTACTCCTTCACATAACACAAAGACCAGGCATCACCCAATGAAATTAAAAACCAGCAGGTTTAAAGCTCAGAAAAGAAAGTACTTATTCACACAACACAGTCAATCTGTGGAACTCGCTGCTGGGGGATGTTGTGAAGGCCATGTCACAATCAATAAGCTACTGTCTCTCACTCGCAAGAAGGTCAAGTTAACTGCATACTTTGCAGAGGAAATGCTACAGCAGGCAAAAAGCTGCTCGAAGAATTTTGTCATCACATGAAATAACAAAGCTGTTACCCCACACTGTTCAGTGGAGTTTCTTCATTAAAAGGCTGACACTAAAATCATCTTGCATCAATGCCCTAGACAGAGTTGCAACAAAACTCCAGATTTTTGCACAAGACTCTACCCAAGACTTCCACAAGATTCTGTTTTTGTGCCTTCTGCTAGGGATCAGAATCGCTGTATAATCCTCAGAAGTGTGTCCCTATCACACAAAGCATTAAAAGCCACTGCACTGTCAGGTGTCCACGCCCTTTTAGGATGTGACACTACTGGAAGGCTGGCATGAAAAACCAACTTATCTTACTGGAAAGCACCTGATTCAGCCTCCGAAGACTCTCTCCTTTCCCTGAAGGTGCTCAGAATGGTTGAGACATTCATAACACGCGTTTACCATTTGAAAACTAACCTTACAACACTTGCCGAAATACAATGGTGGATGTTTTCCATGAAACTGACAAACAAAGAAAAATATTGCCACTGATTAAGGGATGTATTTATACTTGCTATCAAGAAGGCAAATCATCAAGGAATGGAACGGCTCTGGGATGATCAAGCACATCCAAAGCAAGCCTCCCCTATCAGGCATCGATAGGTCTTGGAGAACAGACTGATCACATGAGTGATATGTGAAATACCACGCGCTCCCAAATCAATCCTTCAGCTAATTAAATGCTTGTTTGCAAAGACCAGATGCTTGCCACCTTGCAAATTTATGGCCAGCAGCCTGCCCTGAATGAAGATGTATGAGCACGGCGCAAACAATATCAGTGTGACAACATGTCTAGCAGTGGTAGCCGGAGACAATACTGATGACTTTGATGAATAAATGTTTCCAGTCCTACATGTCAAGGTTAACTTCCCCAGGATGACCAAAGATCAATGTCTTTTTCATGTACACAATACATACCTGTGTTGAAGTAAAATTTAAAAAGTTGTTTTTTAAACATTTTCGTGAATATATATATCTACATAATTGTTCTAGGTTTGTCTTGTTTGGTGCTTTGTATTCGTGGGAGAAAAGGCTTTTAAATGACACGCAACTCAATCCGTTTCCGACAACACTGTACTAGCAAATTTTCCAAAAACCGGAGGACCTGAAGCTGGCAGCAAATCCACCCACCACAATGCAAAGGGTGACACCACTGAAATTATGATTCTGTAGATTTTTACGAATCAAATGACACCTCTCCTGCCTTTCTACCATTAACTTGCCCATGGAATGAGATTTTACTACCTTATGCTCCCAGATACTGTAATAAGAAGGAACTGAAGTGGTGTGATTTCACCCTTTATACCCTCAACTGGAGGCACCAAGAAGCTCATGAAAACTCTCCGACTCAAGTGAACTCCACACACAGAGCTAAGAGAAACAGACACAGGTACTCAAAGAAGAATTAGGGGTTCTTGCCACGAAATTAGATTCCATCTTACTTCGGAGCACACTGGGCCCTGTCAACGTATGTTTGGTGGACAGTCTATAAATCAATATGGAAAGCAACCCTGGATAGGACACATAGCTAGCTAAAAGATAGTTGTTTCACGTGAATGGTAAGGAAAAAACATTACCATACAAATGAAAAAAACAAAACAAAAACCATACACACATTGATACTTAACCATTACATTAAAATAATATCTGAAAACAAATCACCTTACCTTTTTCTGATACTGCATATTCATACAAACTGTTTAACTTTGGTAAGACTGGCTTTATAACATGTATCTGAAATTAAAAAGCAGATTTTATGTAATTAATTTAGTTCAACACAAACCAAAAAGTTATCATAGCTATACTTATGGGTTAGAATTTGCTCTCAGTCACACTAGTATAAAACTGGAATAACTTTATTTAATTTAAGAGTTACTCTGAATCAGTACCTATTGGAATTAATCCTAGGATCTGGTGCATGGTACTTAGTTAGTTTACAGGTTTCTTATTGAATTGCCTTCACTGTCATGCTGTTCTATCATACCAACCACTCACCCATTAGCAATTGACATTTTCATTCATGACTTAAAACAACTTGTAGATTTTCAATTCCATAAAATAGCACAATATATTTACTAAAATGTGAAGTTTTAGTTAGCAAGACAAGTGTAGGAGTTATTTCTCTCAGTAAAGGCTATTTGTCGATACATTTCATTTTAGACAGTGAAGAGCAGCAAATGGTTTGACTACAGGTGATGGGTAGGACCCTATCAAATTCACAGCCATGAAAAACATGTCACGGGCTATGAAACCAGACCTCCCCCATGAAATCTAGCTATTGGAGGGGTGGGAGATGGGCAGGGCTGGGAGCTCCTACCATCCACCAGGCTCCAGCTGCTAGCCCACCAGACTGGGGAGGGACGGGATTTTCTCTTCCTCTGCATGGCCACTCTCGGGGGGAGATCAGACCCACCTCTGGATACCTCCCCTTACTGCAGGAAACTCCACGGCTGCTGCTACCTCTGAAGGTTCTCAGCAGCACGGGTGAGATCAGACCCACCCCCATCTCCGGGAATCTCGTCTGGCTGCAGGAAGCTTCACAGCCCAGCTCCAAAGGCAGCACAGAAGTGAAGGTGGCAATCCCACAACCCCCCTTTATCCCCCCTGTGACCCCTCCATAACCTCGTTTTGGCTCAGGACCCCCATGGTTACAACACCATGAAATTTCAGATGTAAATATCTGAAAACGTGAACCTGACCAATTTAAAAACCCTCTGGCTGTGAAATTGATCAAAATGAACCATGAATTTGATAAGACCCTAGTGATGGGGTGTACAGATCCCACACTACGGATAAAAGGAGCAGTGAAACAGTACTGTGCCCAGAAGGCCCCACCTCTCAGCAGCTGCCAGGCATGTTCCCTATGGAGGGTCTGCTTAAACAGGAAGCTCTGGCAGTCAGCAGCGTGGGAGAGTGACGGAGAGACGGCTGCAAGAAGGCAAATAGAGAGTAGTTGCTGAAGCAGAGCAATATATAGGGGGAAGACTGGGACTGTAAGACATGGCCAGGAGACGGAGGGTCTGACCTTTCCCCCTCTTCTCCCTGACCCGAGGGAACAAGTGGACTCTGGGAGTGAGCTGGAAAGCTACCCCTGCAGCTGGAGCTCTGTATTACTGAGACTGTGCAAGGAGAAGTCTGGGGCCATGATAAAACAGGGAAGGCTAATTAGAGTAGCAACCAGAAGGAACTGAGCCACTCCTTGCCTCTCCCCCTCTTGAACCCTAAGCGGGACCTGCTGGCGAGGGAGGACCTGTGTCCCCTCCACCCCAAACACCTGAGAAATCCCAGAGGACTCAGGGCAGGAGCTGGCAAAGTGTGCCTTGGCCACAAGACTGCCCAGAAGAGTTATCCCAAGACTGAGAGAGACAGTTTGGCTGCAGCCTGACCACTAGGCCTGCAGGCCCCAGAGCGAAGCCCACTACAGTATGGAAAAACAAATCCTCAGAACAAGACAACACAGGTGATGAGACTGAGCTGGAAGAATTGGAAGGCTGGAAACTAGCAGATAAAATAATATGACTAGACCATGGAGTGTGGGAAGGGAAGTCTTCATGTCCCAAAATGAATGAGCAAATACTACCCCACTTTGAAATGAAATAGGGCTAAAGTCAATAGGAGTCTTTTCATTGAGTCCAATGGAAATCAGGCCCGTAGTGACTTTCATCCAAGGACCTTTTAGTGGTTTAAAGTGGTGTATTAGTCTCACAAAGAGAAAAGGAGTGCCACAAGTACTCCTTTTCTCTTTGTGAGACTAATACACCACTTTAAACCACTGAAAGATCCTTGGATGAAAGTCACTACGGGCCTGATTTCCATTGGACTCAATGAAAAGACTCCTATTGACTTAGCTCACGAAAGCTTATGCTCAAATAAATGTGTTGGTCTCTAAGGTACCACAAGTACTCCTTTTCTCTTTGCGAATACAGACTAACACGGCTGCTACTCTGAAACCTGTATTAGTCTCACTTTTCAGATGCGAAACTGAATGCAATAACGAAAGCTGATTTTCATCTTCAGCTAAGTGACTTACCCACAGTCTTTCAGCAAACTGAAACTTAGGTCTCCCAACTGCAATCCCCTGCTCTACCCACTAGATTGATTGTTGTCTCAAAGAAATTGAGAGTGGGTTTCTAACGCCAAAAAAATTCCATCACACTAACTTATAAAAGCTACACGTTAAACGTTTTGCATGTGAAAGCCAAAAACTCTAAGGCAAAAAGCTTATAAAGCTGTAACAGGCTATTTAAACATGCTTGTTAAAGCAAGATTACTAGTTTGTGATATTTGAACAAAATGTGTGATCGACAATACTGTTCACCATGTGCACATATAATCAAAAATACTCGACATGTTAAAACAAACGAAGTACACTTACCTGATTTCCTTCCAGAGTCTCCATTATTAAAATGTAATTTTCCCAAAATTGCAAAAGTTTGTCATTCTTCTCCACAGACCACCAGAAAAGACTTGATTCTAATTGAAAATATTAAATTGTTTAAATTACAAAGTTATTTCTGCTCCTATCCTTCAAGCAAAAAGTGATAAAATGTCATCTCCAGCATGAGTTATCACCAAGAAGTGATAACACAGCACTTGATCCTATAGTCTTGTCACGTACACAACTCCTACTGAAATCAACAGTTTTGCCTCAACAAGGGCTGAAAAAAATCTAACTTTGTAATCTACTGAATTTTAACAGCAATTTCCCATGTGGCTGAAGTGAAAATATATGAACATGCACGTATTTTTCTGATAAACCCATTTAAGACTAGATAGAAAAATGTGACAGTGCTAATCACCTGTCAGCATTTGCTATCCTTTCCAGATCTCATCACTTGTTTTTCCAATAACAGTAACTCATATTTTGTTACCTGCTGTATAAATAGTAAACAGACATGAAAGTAAAACTTCTCTGAATCTGCTTGAGAAATTGAGTGTTTTATCACTTTGTGGGGATGTTCGATTGCAGATTTTATTTTTTAATTAATATTTTGCACTCACTTAAGTAACTTGCCCACAATCACACAGGAAGGCAAAGAAAACAGAACCATGTTATACTCATGCCATGTGCTTTTAATGACAGTGCAACAATCTTTAGAGTTTCAAATATTCTGAGACATTAAATATTTGAAAGTGTAAAGGGAGAATCTTGCTCCTACCTCTTGAACACCAAGCCCTAAATTATGCCTCTCTGAGTGGGTGCAGCATAAGCAGGGCCAGCAACCCTTCCCCGTGCCATTTCAAGCCAGCCCTCAATGGCCAGGCTTCCATCACTGGGGAATAGAAGGGGGAACCAGTTGGTACAATTGGCAACCCTAGCAGCCCTACAGAGCATGTTTCAAGTTGCACTCTTCCCAGTGATCCCCCAGACTTCTGAGTTAAGTCTTCCATAATAGTCCACAAGACTGACTAGTCATCATGTGAAGAGTGTGGGCATAGAAAGTATTCTGCAAAATGAACGATCGCTTGAGAGGCTACAAAGTGGGTCAAAATTTGGAATGCACTTTTGTCCACCTCCAGCTTTACTTAAGCCTCAGTCAGAGGTTCATTAGAAAGGTGCTTAGTTTCCTTAGCTATTTAGGGAGGGCCCAGGGCTTGTTGGTGCTGATTTTTACCAAGTCTGAAATGAGGTTGTAACATGGTGGACTCCATGAACTGTTTGTTTCCGTACTTTATGGTCAACACATGCTTCTGAGCCATGTAACTGCAGAGTTTCAACTCAGCTCATAAGCTCATAACAAATGCCAGGGTGTAAGCAGATCCTAACACCATTTTTGTGCGTGTACCAGTTAACCAAATTTGCCTATCTTCCTACCTCCCAATGCCCAGTACAAGAGGACAGAAATACAATTATCTCCCCGACACCAACAACTCTGCAGGGTACCTATGAAACAACTATCATCTCGGTACCCAAGCACTGGCAGAACAGCCTGGCTGTGCAGATCGCCCCACAATGCGGCAAGGCACACACGGCCGCGCAGGGTGGCAGGCCGAGGCCCGGCTAAGCTGTGCGAGTCGCTGCTGTGTGGATGAGCCGCGCGGGGTTAGCTAGGGCAGTCGGGTGGGGCTATGTACCGTCTCCACTGTCCGGGGGGCAGGTGCAGTCCGTGCGCAGCTGATCGGACACCTCCACCGCTCGCTTCAGCAGGTAGCGGGCTCGTTTCCGGCACAGCCCGTCCCCGTCGGTGAGTCCCTTCTGCATCACTCGCCAGAAGCCCCCGCAGAGCCGGGCGTCCCGAGCTGGGCCCTCCCCGCCACCATCCCCCTCCAGGCCGGGGAACAGCAGGTCCGCCAGGGCGGTCAGGGCCAGCAGGGTCCGGCTCACCCGGAGGGCGGCAGCGCCCCCCTGCGCCCCGCGCCCCGGCGGCAGCAGCAGCCCCTCCCAGACCCGCCCCAGGGCGGCGCGGTTCCTGCTCAGCGCCGGCAGCAGCCGCCCGGCCACCAGCGCTGCCGCCACCTCCTCCCCGGCGTCGCGCCCGCCCGCCCGCACCAGCGCCAGCGCCGCGTCCACCGCCCGCTCCAGCAAGGCCGGCTCCTTCAGCTCGGGGGCCACGGCCACCAGCGCCTCCACCGCCGCCTCGGCGCCCAGCCCGGCCCCCGGCGGCTCGGCCCGCAGCGCCGCCAGCGCCTCCCCGGCCAGCCGCGCCGCCAGCGGGGCCCCGCAGAGCCGGGCGCAGAGCCGCAGCGCCCCGCAGGCGGCTCTCACCAGGCGGCGCCGCTCCGGGTCGTCCGCTCCCCCGCCGCCGCCGCGCAGCAGGGGCCAGCAGCGCCCCAGCGCCACCTCCCCGGCCGCCCGCCGCAGCGCCTCCCCCCCGGCCCCGCCGGCCTCCAGCCACTGCAGCAGGAAGCGGAGGGTCTCCACGCGCTCCACGGAGAGCGGGGCGGGCCCATCGCCGCCGCACACCGCCCGCAGCAGCGCGCAGGGGTCCGGGCTGCGCGCGAGGCCCAGCAGCGCGTCCGCCAGCACCAGCTCCATGGGGAGGTGGGGGGCAGGGGGGCTCCGCGAGGGGAAGGGGGCGCGCGCGAGAGTTAGACCGGCCGCGCGACCCTGCGGTCACCGCCCCCGCTGCCCCGCCCCTTTTCCCCCAGCAGCCTGTGCGCTACCGTGGGGCGCCCAATGGTCTCCGAAGGCGGGGACGTCTTCCCCCCCCCCAGTGTGGGAAGAGCCGAGGTGGAACCCCAGCTTCACAGCCCCTCTCTTAGCCCAAGCCTGGGCCGTTCCCTTTGCTGCAGGCCATGTCCTTGTTATTGCGGTGATTGCTGCCTGTCTGCTCCGACGGTTCTGCTCGGCTCGCGGTAACGTGGGTGACTTCGCCAGCAGTCAGCTGATGTTAACCCAAACTGGAGAAGGATTGTGGGCAAAATTACATGGCCTGGGACGTTATTATGCCTCCCTGCGACCCTCATTTCATGCAGTTTCCAAAAAATACACTGAGTTGAGGTGCTGCCCTAGATTGGTGAAGTGGGAATAGTTCAAAAGGGATTACAACATTCAGAAGGAAAAAAGTGAAACATTGATGGTGTTTTGGGTTCAACAGAAACTTGTCCTCTCATGAAAAGGTATTTACACGCACACACACATGCTGTTTGCACAGATTCCTCTCCCCCATTCACATGAGAAGGGGCCTCAGATGCCTCTGTAGACACCATCCTTCCCCCCTTGAGGCTTCTCTGCATATCTGAGATACCCAAGAGGGTGGGGGAGTGCATGTCATCTCCCCATCCAGCCCTAGTGTGGATGGCATTAAGGTACTCTGGATTCCTGCTGGAGGAAGGGCAAACTTCACCACTCTTCTCAGCAGGACTTAGTGGAAAAGATTGGGGAAGAGATCTCAGTGTAGGGGAGTCCTCCAGGAGATTTCCCATCAGAACCCTGTCCTACAGTAACATGGATCCTAATTACAGTACATGCTGAAATCCACAGATGTGCCCAAATATACTAGATGCCTCTCCTTGGTTTTCCCAGTGCTGCTATGCAACAAGTAGCAACCCCTACTGTTTGCACATTAATTGCCTTATGGGGCAGCCTTTGCAGTGAGAAAAATACAAGGAAAGAGGGAATTGGGTACTGTGGCTGATGTTCACGTAAAGATCCAAAGTATGTGGCCATATGCATTGCAGAAGGTTACTTGAAGTTGGGTAGGACAGGGGAAAGAAAAATACAAAACAACAGAAAATGATTGCATATCAAGCCACAGAAAAGAAAAGATAGTAATAGATGTTGCCTACAATCTTGTGACTGAGCTTTTGTGAGGAAGAGAAATGAAAGAAAAACAGTGCAAGCCAGGATAAAGGATAAGCTCTAGAATACTTGTAGTTCTTCCACATGTCCATGCTATCCTGAATGCATCCAGTCTTGTGAACCAAGAAATTAGTCCAACCTGAATCACAAAGTTCAGATCCAAATCCACACTTCTCCAAAGTTTGAGGCTGTTCAGATTAGATGTTCAAGCCCAATCTCTGGATGCCTGTAATGGAAAACTTGATTCCACAGGTTTTATGCTTCTCTCAGCAGGTGGTGCTGTTGTCATTGACATTTGTTTTTCCACTTTTTTCAGCTGTTTTGAATAAAAAAACATGCAGCAAAAAGCAAATGTGTGGAAAGAAGAGTGAATATGATTGTATTAAAATGAGGAGTGCAGGGGAATGAGTGTTGATGTACAGAAAACAAAAAGGCATTTCAGAGAGAAAAGTCCTGAGATGAAATATTCATGGTATGTTTGCATGGAGAAAGGCAGACGAGAAATTATGGGAAGTAAAGGGACAATACAGAATAAGGCCCAAATTTTCAAAACTAACCCCAGGTTTTTAGGTGCCCAACCTGAAGTACTTGGGTGCTTAACACCTGCAGCTCCTCATTGACTTCAATTGGACCTGTAGATGTTCAGCTCCTCTGAAAATCAGGCCCAGTTTGTCTCATGTCAGGCATCCAAAAACTGAGACACCCAGTTTGAACATTTTGTTCTTAAATATCTGAAGAAAATACAATCAGGCTGAGACTGGTGATTAGCAGCAGTGAATGAAGAAATCAAACTGATCAAGATCTGGCACTCCTGCACTGCACCATTGATTGCTTGTTCATGTTTCAGATATTACCACAGCTTGATTGCATCTTCATTTTTCAGATATTACTAGAGCTGATAGTGCCTAGCTTCCTTTCTTTGTCTAACTATATGCATGAAATATACACAAAGAGGAGTGCTCCTGGAAACCGCACTGATGCTGTTTTCACATAACAGAGTCCATAAGTAATGCTTTCTTCCATCTCTTTCTACCACTGGCTAGGAGACTCTATCCCTGTGACCCCAGGAGACCTTCTATGCCACGCTGTTGGAATTATTAATAATATTTGAAATTATTAATATGGGAAATCACCATACACTAATTTAACCATAAATTCCTTTATTAAATCCAAAGCCAAATGGTATTTATACAATTGCTCTAAACATACCTAAAAATCCTTAATAATAAGCAATTTACTACATCCCAACAGTAACAAAACATTTATAAACATTTGATCAAGATACTTACAAACAGGCTAAACCCAGGCATGCTTAGACCAATATTGGTTGGCTTCAGCGTGGTCTGGCAGGTATTAACAATGAACCCTTTAAGAGTTTACTTTTTATGCCTTTTAACAAACAAGGTATGTCATTGCCAATTACTGACTTCATCTAAAACCTATTTGGAGACAGTTTGCCCTTAATTCAGATGAGATTTATGACCTTTCTTCCCAGGGCTTTTCCCTCCCTCCTTCTTACTTCCCAACAGGTTTTCCTTTGCAGTTGAGTTCACATAGCTTTTAATACTGGTGTGTGGGTTGGGAAGGACCATGTTGGCTCATTTTAAGACAGATTCTCTTTGTGTTATTTAAAACCATCTGCAGTCATCCCTATTGGTCAGAGGCCATCTTTTTAGAAACTTCCTCTTATCTCATTAGTTATTCTTTAAACCAGACAGCCTCACAACTTCATTTCTTCTGGCCTTATAACTTACTGTTTTCAAGGCCTTCGTTCTTGCTCGTCAGGGCCTTTCTTTACAACATATATTCTTAACCAAACTTAAGCTAACTCTAATTCTTTAATTTTATATTTATTCTACACACACTCATTGCCAGAACACACTGTTGTTATAATCTACATCTCAAAGGTGTCATATAAGGTATCATATGTAAACTGGTGACTTGCTGCTCCTGCAAAACACTGCATGATGTATGTATGGGGTATGCACAAAGAGTTATACATGTGTCCTGCAAATATGTTCTCAAAATTTGTTTGGGAGGCAGCACATGAACCCAACCTGCCCAGTCAAAGGAATGTGTATTTACCTCTCTGACTAGCTTAGTTACAGACAGAGGACAATGTAAGTGCCTTTACCTATAAGGTAAATAAAGCCATCATGCTAAACAAGCAGGGGAATTGACCATTTACCAATCACCCCAGGGGACAGAATCTGCAGCCTAGGAAGCCTCCTGGCTCTTGAGGCAGAGACAGTGGATTTTGAGTAATATAAGTGGAGCAAAAAGACCTTTTAGTTATGCATCACTGAGGGGGACAAAGGGTGCAGCACCCTTCAAGCCTGTGAAAGTTGGATCCCCTAGTCTGGAGGGCTAGGGATGCTGGTAACTGGATGTAATTAAGAAAACTGCTTAGGCAAAGATTGTAACTTGCTAAAATTAAGTTTGAGGGCTTGGCTACACTTGTGACTTACAGCACAATAAAGAGGCCCGGGCGCACTAGCTCACTACCCGTCCACACTGGCAAGGCATGTAGAGCGCTCTGACTCCGCAGCTACAGCGCTGCTGGTACTCCACCTCGGTGAGTGGAATAACATTTGCTGCACCCCTGCTGGAGCGCCGTGGCGCCAGTGTGAACGAGGTGTTGCATTACTGCACTCTGATCAGCCTCCGGAAACGTCCTATAATCCCCTTAAGTCAAGTGGTCACTCTTGTCATTGTTTTTGAATCACTGCAGGAATGAGGATATGCCCTTTGAAAGCTCCGTTTCTGACAGCCGGCTGCTTCTCTGCTCTGAGACAAAGCAACCATTAGTGGGGAATGCTGTGTGTGAGAGAGAGAGGCTGGGGAGGTGGAGGTGGCCTGCTGCTCTCTGAACTTACAAGACAGCATGCTGACATGCTCTCAGCCCCCAAAAAACCCACTCTCTCTCCCCACACATACACACAACACACTCCCTGTCACACTCCACCCCCCCCATTTGAAAAGCACATTGCAGTCACTTGCATGCAGGGATAGCTGCCCACAATGCACCGCTCCCAGTGCCGCTGCAAGTGCCGCAAATGTGGCCACGCCAGTGAGCTTGAAGCTGTCAGTGTGGACAGACTGCAGCGCTTTCCCTACTGTGCTCTCTGAAGGCTGGTTTAACTCAAAGCACTCCACATCTGCAAGTGTAGCCGTGCCCTCAGTCACTAGAAAGCATTTTGTTTTGTTTTATTTTTAACCATACTTGTCTCTTTTATGCTTGCTTAGTATCATTTAAAATCTGTGTTCTTCGTTAATAAACTTATTCTTGTATTCTTACAAAACCATCCCAGTGCTGTGTGTTAAAGTGAAGTGTGGTCCTCAGCTAACCAATAACTTTGCTCCTCTGGCACAATGTCGCTTTCTATAAAGTTAAAACTCATCTGTGTGGGAGACGGAACCTTCTCAGAGGCTGGGCCAATGAATTCCCACAGCAACTAAAGACCATCACAAACCTCATCCCCTTCTGCTCTGAGTGTAAAGCACATTTCCTTGACATTGCCTTCTCTAACATAAACTTATAGCAACATTCCACACATGTAGCTACACATTATTCATTTTTTAAAATTCCAAAACAAAACACTTCCACGCACACACTTCTCCCCCAGAGAAAGGATGAGAGAAAAAACACGTGACAGATGTGTAGTCACATTGTTTAATGCACTATTGGAAGGCACTCAGATACTACAGTGATGAGCATAATATAAGTACCTGCACAGAACAGAATATACTTGGAAAATTACAAAATGCAAAATAAAAAGAGCCCCCACAAAAAACTCAAAATACCTGTAATATCCTAGTTATCACTTTGCAA